TACATGATAGTTCTAGAAACAAGAGAGCGTGAGAATTGTCACGTGATCTCGATGACGCAACAATACTTTACATTAAGTAAACCACAGAACCTGTAATACAAGAAATAAAATGTTCTTGTTATCATTAAGTGGACTTAATGATAACTTAATGACAATCTACCAATAACATATACTTAAAACAAAATGTACCAGAAGAAAGAAAGTTAAAATAAGATAAAAAAAACAGGTAGTTTAGAGGAATTACAAGATTGAGACACAAGATTTTGGAGAAGAATTATGATCAAATATAACTTAATCAAAGATAAAATAGAAGGAGCCACAGACTAAAATTGAAATAGCCATAAGAAAAGTGCAGAAAGATTATAACAACAAGACCAACCAAGTGAAAATAAACATCTGAAGAAAACAAGGATTATAACAAAAAAATTGAAGATTTTGTGCCAGAATTAAAGCAGACCCTCGCATATCATTGACAAATTGTGTATATAATAACATTGTTACATATTTGAATATCTTTTACACCCTCAATGAACGAATGTTCACAGTTCCTTACTGTACAGATATCATGATCAGTAATAAATGATTTTCTCTATATAATAAATTTACGTTTCATGATGTATTTGATTCCAATATCTCTTATGTAATAAATTTATTTCATTCAGTGACACTGTCAAAGGGCACGCCACATATTCTTCCAGTTTGTTACTGTGAGGTAACCGTATGGCCAAAACATTAAAAGTAACACCTTTAGGTTAAATGTTATTACAGTGTTCAACTAATTCTATACTGAAGCTTGTAAAACTCATTTAAAAAATCACAAATTAGCTAAGAAAATCACACAGGTGAAGGATGGAGAAAGACTAGTAAATTGGATTGTTGGATAAGAGGAAGTAAACAGTTGTTCTAAATGGGGTCCAGTCAAACTGGACCCTTGTTATTAGGAGATAATTATATTTTTATACAATACAAATCACTAGTTAGTCCTCACTTGGACTACAGTATCTCCCTACCCAAGAAAGGATACTGACTTGTTCGAGATGATTCAGAGGAGGGCAACTCGGATGATTCCAGATATAGAATGATTAATCAGTGACGAGGAACCCACTTTGAGACTAATAATGGCTTGAGACGTCGTACATTTGCTGTTACGTTAAACTTATATTAAATGTTTTTTTTTCATTACCCATTCAAGCCGTCTCCAGCCATTAATAGAATGATTATGTTATGGACATCTCGTAACTTATTTTGTTTTGAGAAAAAAGGGATAAGAGGTGATATTATTGAAGTTTATAGATCATACAGAGGTTCAATGAGATTACAGTCTCTGATTTCTTTTTAATTTCTACTTCTAAGCACAATACGATGAGAGGACACAATTTTAAGGTTTGGAAATAAAGAGGCTAGGTTCCAGACAGGCCAGATTTATTTTTTTGTGAAATATGGTGTCAATATTGACAGTACTGGAGCTAACAATTTACAAGTATTTAAAATGGGTTTCAGTTTCTTGAAACATAATGGATAAGTTTACTCTATGGTGAGTATACAAGGAAAACTATGATGGACCAATTAGCCCATTTTCTGTATATTATGTTGAACTTTATCACATTTACTAATACTAGTAATAATATGATTAAAATATAGATGGCTAGCTTCCTTGTTTCGTCAATTTACATTATAATTCTTTACAACAGACATTAGTTTCACCTATAAATTACTACACAATTAGTTGAAATTACAATAATATATAATAATAATATTGCTGTAGGAAATTAGTGCATAATTCAGTTAATTTTTAAACAAGATCATTTATCGAACAGTAAATAATTGGTTGTGTTCAGGAGTTAATGATTCTATAACTTCTAAGCTCAAAACAACCATATTCTGTTAGCTGGCTACCTTCTTGAAGTTCTTCTGCGATCGAGGTACCTTCGTATAAGGCATTGAAGTATAGTTGCAAAGTCGGGGTCAGGCTCACTATCAGAATCTCGATCACGGGCTGTACTATTACTATTTGCCCTTCCTGACATTTTTGCTATGTTTAATCCCATACGGCTCTATAGTTAGGCAGATGAAAATGCCAAAACACTGAAAAAAATGTTGCATTAATTTTTACAAACGGAGTGCAGTATGTAAAAATATGCAAAGTAAACTTTAATGTAAAAGAAACAAAACCAAATGTTCTGCACAGCTCAGCTGACAATTTCTTCACACTTAAAATTAGTGTCCATGTCGTTAAATAATTGCGTAAAAACAATATCATCTTTCAGTCAGCAATTTTGAGTTTCATCTATAAAAATTAATAATAAATATAGGCATATGTATTTTTACTACTTTATTATTCTACTGTAATTTTATATATTTACTAGCAAAAGTAAATATCACCTATTTTAAACCAATCAAAATATGGCTCTATTCGAATCACGAAATATAATGCTTTGTATAAAAAAACAAGCAAAACTTTAAGACATAAATCTCCAAAAGAAATTAATTTGGTTTTAGAAGCTTTTAAACACATAGTGTAAAATAAATTAATTGAGTTTTGCCATACTACTTGCTAAAAGTAAAATATTTAAAAAATATATATTGAAATACAGGGAGTGGCGATGTGTGATTCAACGTAAGTCACGTGACTAACGCTTTTGTCCAAAGAGGCAAATGGCGTCGTTTTGGGTTAGGTGTTACAATTTTTGTGTTTAAAATCATGATGTAATTCCTTTATAGTTTGCTCTTAGATCTGAATTTGTGTGGGATTCAATTTCTAGAATGTTTATGTTGTAGCATGTAAACTCTTACCTTTTTTTGTAACTTGAGTGTATGGAAAAAGTTGAAAGAATTTTGACATCCTGCACGTGTTTTCAGTTCAAGTTTGTTTTCATCTGAGGAGAAGCTGAAGTTCGTTAAGAATATTCCTCAGGAACTAATCTAACCATATCGGTAAAACGGACTTGAGTTAAATGGTAATTAAATTTTATATATCACAAGGAAGTGTTTGTCTTGTGACATTTCAAATGGACGGTAGCAATTCACAATAAGATGAATAAACTTCAACTGAACACTTGGTACATTTAACTAGTAATATAGTACTGTTGGGACCTATAATATATAATGTATTTCATTAAAAACTGTGTAGTCTTGATACACGTTGGGTGTAATAAGTTAAACATTAAATAAATTCACTTTTTAATACACTAAAGGTTTAATAATTTACACCAGAAATAAGAAAAATATATATTCAATCAAAAAATTGTAAAATGTGAAAGTTTAAATTTTGGGATGAAGATATGTGTGTGATTTGTAAAATGTGACTTTAAGTTAGAATGAGCTAGTAGTAGTATTTTCAAAAGTACAGAAAGTAAACAGTAATACGTTTTGGTTGCTTTACACATTGTCAAAATGTGTGTATATTTGTGATTGTGTTTGCATGTATATTTTAAGTAAGTTTGTAATTGAACTGTACTTATTCAATAAAGGTTTAAAAATATATACTTGAATTTTTAAACAGTAATATGTTTTGGTTGGTTTGCACATTGTCAAAATGTGTGTATATTTGTGATTGTGTTTGCATGTTTATTTTAAGTAAGTTTGTAATTGAACTGTACTTATTCAATAAAGGTTTAAAAAATATACTTGAATTTTGAAGCCTTCTCAAATCCTTACCCAGTTTCTTCAGAAATATTATGTATATCAGTCTTATTGCTGGTCCATTTATTCTTAAAATTACACTTAATTGTACATTCATAAGTTTTTAAAACCATAATCAGTCAAAACATTTGAAAAAAATCTTGTATTTCTCTTATTAATAAAGAACCTCCTAGAAATTTTTCTACAATAAATATCCAATTATTCACTTATATTTTTACCAATAACTGTACAGATACATAATTGATCTTGTGTAAATGGTATTTCAGTTCAAACTATTTGATCGAGGATTTGTCTTCATGATAATAATCACTCGCAATGTATCAACATTTTCCCTAGATTAAATTCTTGAGTATTCTGTGACTTGGGGTAATGCACGTTAGCAAGATACATAAAAATAATCTAACGTAAGATGTTTACATTCAAACATTGTTACAACTGAGGAAACAATGCATTCCAATATTAAGTAATACAGTTTGATTATTATATTTATTTATTTATGATTTTTAATAGGTATATTTTTAAGTTCTGATTTATGTTGGTAGCTATGATTAGTAGTTAATTTTTTACTTCCATTTTTTTTAAAATAGATTTGAATTTCATAACTTCGTGAATAATGTATTTTTAGCAATATAGTGCCGAATAATAAAATATTTGTAAACTTGAAAAATGACAACTTCCAGTTATGAGATTTTAAGCAGTTTGAAATACATACTTTCACTGCACAAACATTTTCTTAAGTAGAACTATAGCATTTAACATTAGATGCTGTATTTATTAAAATTTTTATGATGTATATCTGGACACTTTGTGATCTAAATTATTCATATATGTATCATATAGAAAATTTCATTGAATTTCAAGGGAGTTTTTAAATACCGGATATATCGTTTTGTACAGGGCTCCAGAGATGAAATAAGTACTAAGTTTTGACAATGGCAGAAGCGCCTTTAGCTCAGTATATTTCCTTGGAGGAAGGTATTTCTCATAAGCCTTCCAATCAAGTGATGGAGAAAGAGCATGGTCAGGAAATATTAAGCTGGAATGGTAAATCTTCAGAACATTCACTTGTTACAGGTATGAAATTCTTAGAGTCTTATTTTAGAATATGTAATATTAAACACTTGAATTTTTCTAGTAATGAGTCAGAATAACGGAAAAGTGTGTATGAGCGAAATAAATAATATGACTTAAAGGAAGAAAAAAAAACTTAAAATATTATGTATTTTTCATTAATGGAAAGATAAAATAATGTATTTCTAATACTAAATAATATTTGTTGAAACATAATTTATTATAAATTACAGTTGGTGTCCCAAATAATATGTAAAAACTGCCATCAAAAGTACATCACTTAGCTTCTTTAATAAGCCACTCAAATAATGTAAATTTACCTTTAAATAGGATTGAATTAAAACTAAAAATTTCAACTTAATTAACAGATCAGATATGATAATAAATATATACCTTAAATGTTATGCTTTTTAATTATGGAGTGACACTCGAGTCATAAATTATTATTATAGAATTTAATGTGTTTAAAATATAGCAACATGTCTTAGGTTTTTTATAATAAAAAATCGTGTACATGTGTTGCATTGCAGTAACAAAATTTAACATTAGGGATATAAAAATGCCATCTTCATTATAAACTTGCAAGATTTCATAGTGCATCAACTTTGCAGTTTCAATTTATTTACTTCATTTTGCCAGAAACATCTTGAAATAAACAGACAAATTTACAGTTGTTGTTTTCCACCTACCTCACAAAGGCTGTAATGGTACCAATAATCATACATATGAACAGTTTCATAAATTGTCTTTAGTATGCTGCTGCCACCTTTTGGCATAAATAATTGATCTTGAATATAATTTTACTTAGTGTTATAATTAAATAACAAGGACAATTTTTTTAAAAGTAATGCAGATGTCAGGGCTTTCGTATCAGTTTAGATTTGCTTAGTTCACTGAATACTTATTATTTAATATTTGCTTAGTTCACCGATGTAAGTACACCATAAGATAACTGTTATATTTTTTAATATCATGCAAACATTTTAGAATGTTGAATATTGGTGAAAATTATCATGAAATGTTCAAGATTCTCATGTTTTGTACCAAAGTAAGATTTTAAATAATATTTTTTTCACTATTTCATACTGATACTGCAGGTGTAAAACAACCAACCAGCCATGATTTACCACCAACTAGTGAGTTTCATGTTGAGGCTAATTTGTCTCAACCATTGCCTCAAGTAGCGACACCATTTATGTCTCCACCACAACTTGGTTCCCCTGATCCTGTACACGACTTGCCCCAGGAGCTCCTGGATGCTGGCTGGAGACGTTTCTGGAGTAGAAGAGAAGGACGGCCGTATTTCTTCAATAAATTAACAAACGAATCATTGTGGGAAATGCCACGACTCGGGAATTCAACTCAAGTGAGTAAAGGATTCTAGTATAAGCAATATAACATTTGCAGAATCAAGCATTCTTTGACTTAACATGATTAAAAACATAAACCACCATTTAAATACTTGTAAACTGTTTTTTAAGGTCAGCCTAGCTATAAATATTTTTTCCTCTTGAAGAAAGGAAATAAACTGAAGTTCAGTGAAGAGTAAAAAAAAAATTTTATATTGAAGTTGGGAACTTCACCAATTAATAAATAATCAGTGGTGTGCAGCCAGGTTATGTAAGTCATATTTATTGTTGTTATTTTACTGTTTGTTTATTGTGTTTCTTTGCACTGCAGCAGTATTCTCTGCATGTCTAGTCTCTGTCGTGTCATGTTACGTTAATTCTGCATACCTAACGTTCGATAGCTTTGCATGTCTAGTCTCTGTCGTGTCATGTTATGTTAATTCTGCATGCCTAACGTTCGATAGCTCTGCAAGTCTAGTCTCTGTCGTGTCATGTTACATTAATTCTGCATGCCTAACCTTCGATAGCTTTGCATGTCTAGTCTCTGTCGTGTCATGTTATGTTAATTCTGCATGCTTAACGTTCAATAGCTCTGCATGTCAAGTCTCTGTCGTGTCATGTCACGTTAATTCTGCATGCTTAACCTTCGATAGCTCTGCATGTCTAGTCTCTGTCGTGTCATGTTATGTTAATTCTACATGCTTAACGTTCAATAGCTCTGCATGTCAAGTCTCTGTCGTGTCATGTCACGTTAATTCTGCATGCTTAACCTTCGATAGCTCTGCATGTCTAGTCTCTGTCATGTCACGTTAATTCTGCATGCCTACCCTTTTGCTTCCAGCAGTATCCTGTTTTGTGGAGTGATGTTGCAACCATCTGTTATTAAAACTGTGCAAGTCATGCTGCATTTAAATAGCATACACAGAAGTTCAACGTAAAGGTCACATGCTTTGCTTCGCTTGATTTTGTGATATGTTGTTTGTTTGTTTTTCATTTACAAATAGAGAGAGTAAACCTGTTTTCTGGATGTGTTTTTCTTTATATTCTGGAGATATATGACTTTAATAAGCTGTAACTGCATGACCCACTGAACACCAGTGCATGAAATTATGTTATATATGAATTCTGTTAAACTATTTAACAACTGGTTCAAATCAAAATGCTAACCCTTCTAGATCAAATAAGTTACTTATGTATAATTTCTATTCAGTTTGATCCTGTCACTGATCCACTGGGGATTCAAATTCAGACTCCAACAACACCCCAAACTCCAATATTCCCACCAAACCAAGCTCTTCCAGTGCTTCAGAAAGCCGGAGAAAAACGTCGTGCATCATTGGTGGATGACATGACTGTTCCAAGCAAGCGGTTTATTCTAATGTGAGTATCACACATTACTAAATCAAATGTCACTAACTTGTGCTATTATATTGCTGTAGGTAATGATTTTAAATATTTAAATGTCCACTTGATTAATCCTTTCTACAATGATTAGTCATTTTGACCAATCTTACAACCACCATGTAGTCATGAAACTGTACATAAATGGAGTTATAGTCTCCCACTGTTAACTTTGTTAACCTTTCCAGATGGGTCACGGTTGAAAGGCCTTGTCGTCCGTTTGTTGACTTGCATTCAAAATTTTATTGAACTACTATTTTGTGAATTTATGTCAATAACTTTGGTATCAAACTGTAGATTATAATTCAAATTTTAGTATTATACTTTACTCAATTTCTTAATTTAAAAGTAAATATTAAAGAACACAGTTAAACATTGATTTTTGTGTGTCACGTGGTATGTTGAATGTAGCACTGGTCCAAATTAGATGTTTGTGATGTCAAAATACTAAGTCTATAGTTTTGTATGAATTAGGAACTGAAATTACCGATATTGATAAGCTAGAATATAAAATAAGACCCTCTTATCTTTTCAATTTGCTAAGATATTGCTCATGTCATAAATCAAACACAGTGGCACCCCGTCCACCTTTTTTCATTTTTGGAAACTCTCCCTTATATACTCTTATTTCTATATATGACATGAATAACCAATTGGAAGTTCAGAATGTCTCCCTAGTGGCTTTCTCAGCCATTTTAACATCTTTGGACACCATCTTTTTTTTTCAAACCAAGATTTCAAGGAGGTAGGTTGTTTTTACTCTGCTCAAAATTTCATATTTTTTAGACTGAAGTACAGCTTAGTTATTGAGCTTGATAAATTATAGTGGAATTTTATGGTATTGATGTAGTAATTTATGATTTTTTAGTTATTGAAATGTATATATAAAACCTAAAAAACTAATATTTTGTTTCATATCCTCCATGTGCAAAACTTTAAAAGGTTTAGCCACCTACGTGAATCAACAACCGAGTACAAACTTCGTAACTAGAAGAGATAATTGTTTGCTTTACTTCTTTATTCACTGTTCTATGTTTTAAGAAAAACTTATTTCTAAATAGCAATAATTTATGTACATATGTAATGTATAATAATTGAAATGTGACTGTATTTTACAAAATACTAATCTACTAAAACACAGCCAAGACAAGTTACTTTGTAAAGACTAAAGGTCAGTTTTATATTATTGGATATGGTAACATGAGTGCACATGTGCCACATCATTGTAACTTCTGTATTGTTAGCCAGGCATGGCTGAAAGGTCAATATCATAAAAATGATAAATATATATAAATGTATAATGTTATGAGATTTAAGCTACATAGTCTAAACATTTATGTTTTTGTGTTATGATTTGTAGTCATTCTAAAACAAAAGAGGCATAATTTATGTTGGAACATGTGAAAAGAAAAAATTGCTTTACAAAACTTAAGACTTAATAAAAAAATATTGATATTTTGTGTATGAAAGCATTGTAATGTTTACTGATAATCTGTTAAATTTTGTTAACATACGCTTACAAATTTAGAAGTTATAGCATGAAAAATATAACAAGCACAAAATGGTTATGAGGTCAGTCCCAGGGACTAAGTTCGTGCTGAAAGAGTCTGTGGTGATCATTTATTAAGTAACTTTATTAATGAAAGAACACTTAGCTTTATTTCTGTTGTGTAGAGTTGAGGTTCATGTTTAACTAGTTTGTGTCATGTTATTTCTGTTGTGTGGAGTTGAGATTGATGTTTAACTTGTCTTGTGTCATGTTATTTCTATTGCGTATAGTTGAGATTGATGTTTAACTAATCTTGTATCATGTTGTTTCTGTTGTGTAGAGTTGAGATTGATGTTTAACTAGTCTTGTGTCATGTTGTTTCTGTTGTGTAGAGTTGAGATTGATGTTTAACTAATCTTGTATCATGTTGTTTCTGTTGTGTAGAGTTGAGATTGATGTTTAACTAGTCTTGTGTCATGTTGTTTCTGTTGTGTAGAGTTGAGATTGATGTTTAACTAGTCTTGTGTCATGATACGCAATAGAAACAACATGACACAAGACTAGTTAAACATCAATCTCAACTCTACACAACAGAAATAACATGACACAAGACTAGTTAAACATCAATCTCAAACCTACACAATAGAAATAAATTTCTGTTGTGTAGAGTTGAGATTGATGTTTAACTAGTCTTGTGTCATGTTATTTCTGTTGTGTAGAGTTGAGATTGATGTTTAACTACTCTTGTGTCATGTTGTTTCCGTTGTGTGGAGTTGAGATTGATGTTTAACTAGTCTAATGTCATGTTATTTCTATTGTGTAGAGTTGAGATTGATGTTTAACTACTCTTGTGTCATGTTGTTTCTGCCCAACATAAGAACCATTTATTATCAAAATTACATGTCGTTTTAAACACTTTTTGAAGTGGACCCTGGGATCTAGAAGTTGCCACTAATGTAATCTCATGGGAAAGGACGCCATCTCTCCTTCCACCCCCTCATCCAGAAGTGGAGCAGTTCAGAGCATCTTTAGTTGGAAAACTCCGTCAGCAGTATCAAGAGATGTGTCATTCTCGAGAAGGTACGTGTTGAACAAATTCTAGGTACATCTTCCTGTACACAAACAGTTGTACAGATAGGATTTGTATTTTTGTAATTATGAAACAAGAGCTTATTTTCTGTTATGTATCTGCATTCATTGTTAATTTGATCATACTTTTTATATTATTTACATAACATCAACTTTGAAATGCAAAATAAGAGAATTATATATATTTTAAGGTAACATATATTTTGACAATCATATTAGTTATCACACTAAAACTCAAAATCAAAGTAGTAAAGCATGAATTAAAATAGTATTTTTAATACAAAGGATCTGACACATTTTCTCAGCCCTTGTTTGCCTTATTCAATGCCCAAAGACAACCAGGGCCTGCCAAAATGTGCCAGTTTTTTTTATAAAAACGGTGTTCTAATTCATGCTTTAAATTGTTGTTTATGTGCCTTACATTTGAGAATCAGATGCATATATATTTATATACACATAAATATAATGATTCGTATCTTCAGAATGTATCTATTGGCTCAATATTTCACTGTCGCAGCTTCATTAGGAGCTGTTGCTAACCTACGGGCTCACTAATTCTGGGGATATAGGTTACCTACAGGCTCACTAATTCTGGGGATATAGGTTACCTACGGGCTCACTAATTCTGGGGATATAGGTTACCTACA